TGTGCTCTGTCAGCAATGGTGTAGGATCTCCTGCTTGGGATGAAGGGATTGGACTAGATGACCTACAAGGTCCCTTCCAATCCTTATGCTAACCAGGGATGACCTGCTCAGGTTATCGGTGTCGAAGTCCTGCTCTTCACATCCAAGTCGATTGCGAGTCCCTTTCCCGATACACCTGTCAATCCTCCTTTTTTGGGGGACAAGGGTTTTTGGGGGGGCTTCCGACAGCCAGACGGAGGAAGGGACCATTTAGACAGAGAGAAAGCGAAACCGAGTGCTAATCCTGCTTTAGGCATGAAAGCCAGCTGGGTGACTTTGGGCCAGGGCTCTGACATTTTTGGGGGAAATAAAGGCTGCCAAGAAAACTGCCCAGACTTGTCTACCTCCGTCGCCAGGGGCCAACTCTGACTTTAGGCACATATATCTATACCTACATATGTTTGAGTTTATAACTCATAACTGAGTTTTGCAACATTTTATAAGTCATATACCTTATCTGAGTTTTGCAAGTGTTTGTGTGTGTATATATGTGTGTGTGTGTGTGTGTGTGTGTGTATATGTGTATCTATCTATCTATCTATCTATCTATCTATCTATCTATCTATCTATATCTGTATGTATGGTATTCAGCTTTGTTCGGGTATTTTCCCACGTCATTATAGTTGTGCTTTTAAAGTTGTAGCAACGTTTCGGCAGAATCTCATCTGCCATCATCAGGCTTCTGTATAGGAACATATATACAGGCTATACAGAAGCCTGATGATGGCAGATGAGATTCTGCCGAAACGTTGCTACAACTTTAAAAGCACAACTATAATGACGTGGGAAAATACCCGAACAAAGCTGAATACCATATATACATATACATATAGATATATATACACAAATACATCTGTTTTGCAACATTTTATAACTCATATATCTGAGCTTTCCAACAATGTATGTATGCATGTGTGTGTGTGTGTGTGTGTGTGTATGAGTTTTGCAACTTTTTATAGCTCATATATCTGAGTTTTGCATATATTTTGCATTACATACACACACACACATATAAAATATATCTGAGTTTTGCAGCATTTTATAACTAATGCATCTGAATTTTGCAAACAAATAATTCCCTCAACACTGTTCAACTATTTACAAAGTGTACACTACTATTACTGTTAATCTTCTCACCACTCCTTATCACCCCTCCCCTCCCACTTGACTGTTTCCTAGTATGATTTGATTGTTGATTGCACCCTATGACTATCATTAAGTGTTGTACGTTGTGATTCTTGATTCTTAAACAATGTACCTTTTCTTTATGTATACTGAGAGTATTTACATCAAGACAAATTCCTTGTGTGTCCAATCACACTTGGCCAATAAAGTATTCTATTCTCTTCTCTTCTATTCATATATGTGTGTGTGTGTGTGTGTATGTATATGTATAGACATACATACACATACACACATATAATATCTGAGTTTTGCAATGTTTTATATACATATATACATAAACATACATACATACATATACTGGTATATATACATATATATTGCTAAACTCAATTCTACTCACTGTTGCAGCACTCAAAACAGCGATAAAAAAAAAAAATCCAGTTAGTATTCGATATGCAGCCATTCATTTAGTGTTCAAAATTAAGACAGCACTGAAAACAGTGCCTCAATTACTGTTTTTCACACTCAGCGACCGCTGCAGCATCCCCACTGTCCCGGGGTCGAAATTCAGACCCTCAGCAAATGACCCCTACTTACGACGGTCACAACGTCCCCGGGGTTAGGAGATCCCCATTTAGCAATCCCCTGACCAGCGCACTGGATTCACTTAACAACCAGGCGACTAGCTGAACAATGACCAGGGTTCACTTAACGACAGAGGTCATAAAAACGGGGCAAAAGTCATATAAGAAGCCTTTCAACTGAGTGGCATGAAACTTAACTCACCTGTCTGGAGTTTCTCTTCTGCTTCCCTTCCCTTAAACTGAAAAGTACTCCAAGTCCCGAGAGACACGCAAAGCCTGGAGAAGGGAGGGAATAGAGAGTTACAAATCCCATGCGTCGCGGCTCCTTAATGATTCAGGGCTCCCCAGCCGCTTCTCCAACGTGGCGCCCCTTGCAAAAGTGGCAAACTCCCCCCCCCCCCCCCGCCAACTATACCGCCCATCGTGCCCCTCCGCCCTGCCTAGGTGGGACAGGACTGGCCGATCCTACAGCGGGGAGGAAGAGAAGGAGGAAGAAAGGTGCAAAGCAGCCCCCCCGCCCACCTTCAACCCCCCTTCCCTGCGCGATCCTGCCAAGCTTGGATCGGGCTGCGCGCAGGAAGAAAACTCCGGCTTGCCTGGTTCTTTTTCCGCGGGCGCCCGGCGAGGGGACCCGCAGACACCGGACAGGAGGCTCCCCTAGACGGGCAAAGCGATCCGGAGATGCTCGCGTCCCCGGGCAGCTGCAAATCCAGCCAGCCTGCCCGCCCGCTCGCTGGCTCTGCGGTTCTGGGAGGCCCCAGAAGCCGCGGCGGAGCTCCACCTGGGAAGGGCGGGCCGCCTCCGCCTCCGCCTCCGCCGCCCCCGGAGGCCCAGCCACCCGGAGTCCCTGCCCGCCCGGCCGAAAGCAGCTGGGCGCCCGATCCTGCCTCGCCCGCGCCCCAGGCAGCGCGATCCGGCAAAGGCGCAGCGGCAGATGGGAAGGAGGAGGGAGGGAGGAGGGAGGGAGGAAGGATGGGTGCCTCCTCTTCCTCCCTTCTCTTCTCTGCAAACCCCACTCCCTCGTAGCACTGATGATGTTCCTTAGTTGGGTCGTGAAACGTCTGGAAGAAAATCATCCAGCTCAAAAAGCACCATGGACTCTATAGTCCTTTTCCTCCTCCTCCTCCCAAACTCCAGTTCCTTTAAGCACTGATGGTGTTCCCTAGTTGGGTCATGAAACGTCATCAAGAAAACCTCCCATGGACCCTACAGTTCTTTTCTTCCTCCTCCTCCTCCTCCTCCCTCCACTCTATAAACTCCCCTCCCTTCTGGCACTGATGATGTTCCCTAGTTGGGTCATGAAACACCTGCAAAAAAAAAAAAACTACCCAGCTCAGAGAGCACCAAGGACCCCACAGTCCTCCTCCTCCTCTTTCTCTTCCTTCCTTCCTTCCTCCCTTCCTCCTCCTCCTCCTCCCTGCCTTTTTGAGGGCTCGTGGGAAAATTGGAGGCAGAAAATATCTTGTGGGGCATTGTGATAAAAAGTGATTTGGGTGCTTGCCAGGCAACGGCCGTTTCCCAAATCAAACATTTCACCATTGGATAAATATATATACAGTAATCAAAAATGCCCAGAGAGACTTTAACCTCCTGGATAATCTGTTACTGGTTTCTTCCGATTTCTCTTTGAAGTTGGCCACTTAAGATGTTTTTATTCGGTTTTATCCGTGGCACGTGAATCCTGCTGTTGTCCTGCCTTTAAAATCCACACCGCGTGTATTATTTAAAAAGAGAATATTTGTAGCTCAGGGTGGAATTGTGAGCTCGGTATTTAATCTATTTATTTTTTATTTTCCAAAGCCGGAACATCTGGCGTGAAAGAGAGAAAAATACAATATTCAAAATTGGTATGGTAATCTAAATAAAAGTAAGCCTTGATGTACCACCAGAATTGAGCCCAACGTTCCGGTTGCTAAGTGAGCAAGAATTTTGCCCCGTTCTATGACTTTTCTTGCCACCGCCGCTAAGTGAATCACTGCTGCTGTTGTTAAGTGAATGTCAAAAGGTCGCGAAAGGGGATCAGGGACACTGCAACTGTCATAAATATGAGTCAGTTTCCCAGTGTCTGAATTTGGATTCCACAACTGCGGCAATTTGTGTCGTAAGTGTGAAAAATTGCCCCTTTTTTTCCAGCGCCGTCGTAACTTTGAACGGTCACTGAGTGAAGTGTTGCATGTTGAGGACTACCTGTAAGGAAACTTTCAATAACTATATTACAAATATAACAATTAAAACACAGAAGGAATTTAAAACACTGAGTTGTTTTCTTGCAGACGTTTCATGGCCCAACTAGTTAACATCATCAATGCTGGAAATGTGATCCCCATTCCCTATGTAGCACTGATGACGTTACCCAGTTGGGTCATGAAACGTCTGCAAGAATTCCACCAAGCTCAGAGGGCCCCAAGGACCCCTCAGTCCTGCACTTCCTCCTCTTCCTCCTCCTTACAATTCTCCTCTCTTCTAGCTCTGATTATGTTACCTAGTTGGGTCATGAAATGTCTGCAAGAAAACAACCCAGTTCAGAGAGCATTCAAGACCCCAAAGTTGTCATCGTCATTGTCGTTGTTGTTGTCCTCCTCCTCCACAAATCCCATTCCCTTCTAGCACTGATGATGTTACCTACCGTGTTTCTCCAACAATACGGCCTCCACCAATAGGAAGACCCAGCATGTTTTCTAGGCATAAAATCAAATTAAGCCCCTCCCCCCAAATTGAGGCCTAGTTTAAAACATGCAAAATGGGAGGAAGGGTGGGGGGACTTGCCGTTAGGAGCGCCCCGTGGGCAGCAATTCCTCGTCATCAGCCGCTCCTAACGGGTGATCATGGCGAAGCGCAGAGAGTTCCCTACTCCCACCAAACACCTTTGCGGCAGACCCAAGACCTTTGGCAGCTGCCGCTCTTTCTTTTCCTTCTGCCCATTCCGCTGCCACGTTTGGAGCTGCCGCTTCCGTGTTTGGAGCTGCCGCCGCCGTTTGGAGCTGCCACCGCCGTTTGGAGTGCCACCGCCACATTTGGAGCTGCCGCCGCTGTTTGGAGTGCCACCCACCACGTTTAGAGCTGCCGCCGCCGTTTGGAGCTGCCGCTTCTGTGTTTGGAGCTGCCACCGCCGTTTGGAGTGCCGCCGCCACGTTTGGAGCTGCCGCCGCCGTTTGGAGTGCCGCCGCCACGTTTGGAGCTGCCACCGCCGTTTGGAGCTGCCGCTTCCGCGTTTGGAGCACCACCGCCATTTGGAGCACCGCTGCTACTCCAAACACAGCGGCAGCTCCAAAAACGGAAGCGGCAGCTCCAAACGTGGTGGCGGCACTCCAAACGGTGGCGGCAGCTCCAAACGTGGCGGCGGCAGCTCCAAACGTGGCGGCGGCACTCCAAACGGCAGCGGCAGCTCCAAACATGGAAGCGGCAGCTCCAAACGTGGCGGTGGCACTCCAAACGGTGGCGGCAACAGCTCCAAACACGGAAGCGGCAGCTCCAAACGTGGTGGTGGCACTCCAAACGGTGGCGGCAACAGCTCCAAACACGGAAGCGGCAGCTCCAAACACGGCGGCGGCACTCCCAACATGGAAGCGGCAGCTCCAAATGGCGGTGGCAGCTCCAAACACAGAAGCGGCAGCTCCAAATGTGGTGGCGGAATGGGCGGAAGGGAAAGCAACAGCGGCAGGTGCCAAAGGTCTTGGGTCTGCAGCAAAGGTGTTTGGTGAGAGTAGGGAGCTCTCTGCGCTTCGCCATGATCACCCGTTAGGAGCGGCTGGTGGCGAGGCTGCCCGCGGGGCACTCTAGATGAGGATGCAAGGGGGGGAATTAAGTCACCCCCCGAAAAGACGGCCTAGCCATTTTTTCGGGGCTCAAAAAAAAAATAAGGCCCGGCCTTATTATGTGAGAAACACGGTAGTTGGGTCATGAAACGTCTGCAAGAAATCCACCAAGCTCAGGGAGCACCAAGGACCCCAATTTGATCTATTTATTCAGCTACCAAATCTGTCAAATATCATGTACTGCCCATTGCAGCTGTGTGACGCTTTGTGGTTTGCAAATAAACCTATAGAAAAAGTGTAAAAGCCATCTTTGACAACGCATTCCAGTAATTTGTAATGTCATTTGAAGTAACAGTTTCCGTCACCGCATTGATTTCCGTGGACCTTACATCATACTTAATGTCAACTCATAAACTATTTTTTTAGAGTTGCCAGCAGAAAGGGAGTGGAGGGGAAGGGTTTTGAAAGAGCAATGCAGAAGCTCGGAAACCGAAAGCGGATTCCATAAATGGTTTTTCAAAGATAGTAACTAGGTGACTGAAGTTTCTGCCATGCAAAATTCTAACTGAAGAGCATGATTGATGACTCTGGGCTATGGAGGTGTCCCGTTGGAGAATATGAACTACGATACACCCAGGGGGTGGGGGAAAACCAGGGTCAAGGCTGACAATGAATTCTGTGTTTCAGAGTTGGCTACGCTCAGGTAGTGCCAGACATGTTAACTCCCTTTTTGGAAGTTTTGGAAGTTTGGCTCTAGACTCATACGTTAATTGAGGGTAACTGCCGGAATCCTGACATTTAAATGGTTACCCGTTTCGCCAAAAATACAACCTACCCTGAAAGTAAGTCCTAGCTTGATTTTTTTACACATGCACCCAATATAAGCCCTACCCCCCAAAATAAGCCCTAATTAAGATCCCACCAACTCCAGAGTGGACAGGTAAAAATTAAGCTAGGGTGAAGATGGGGAGGTGGAGCTGCCCTACTACTTACCTTGGGACAGTTGTAGTCAGAGGTTAGTCAGTGGATGACATCCCCCGAAAATAAGACATGGTGCCTTTTTTTTGGTGGCAAAAGAAAATGAAAATAAGACGGGGTCTTATTTTCGGGAAAACAATGTAATAGAGGGGGTGTGCATAAGTGCACTAGTGTGCCCATCACTGTATTTTTATTCTTTTATTCTTGTTTCTCATTTATATTTGACAAATTTGAATAAATAAATCAATAAAATAAATAAATTTGGGAGTAATGTGTGTCTGTTGGTATCTTCACGCAACTCATGGCTTTCACACACACACACACCACAAATGTTTTCTTGTTGCAGGAGAATAACAGCTGAATATGGCTTCTACAAGCTCAACGGGCTTCGCAGGACTACCTTTTATCATGTTATAACAGGGTAAATTATTTGAGTAGATTGTGGGTATGTGGTCGGCATAATATCTCATTTATTTATTTTATTTTGACAACTTCCTGGCACGTGTCTCCAACATGCTTCCCTCTGCCGACCAGCCAGTAAGATTTCATGATGCCGCAGGATTAGCCTCCTATCCCACCCAAACTATCATGGCTAAGTGTCAAAAAGCTGCTCATCCTTGGTTTGTTAACAGCCTCTCCTATCTCTGCAACCAGCCATCATTTCCCCCCGGTTTTTTTTATTGCAATTATGTGGTTTCTGACCTTCACCCATGGGATGGTTTTGATTGATTAGCTTTCCGCTCAGGGTGAGGGCTGGGTTTTGGGGAAAATCAAAGTTTCATTCCCCCCCCCCCCACCCGCGGAACCAAACCCAGAAGCGGTTTCAAGGTTTAAAAAAAAAAAAAAAGTAATTGTGTGGTTTTATTGTTGTTGCTGTTGTTGATCAAAGCAATCAATTTAACCCTCTTTGCTAATTTCATCCATTTTTGCATCCACAGTGGGAATCAAAATGAGTGGGATTCTAGCAGTTCGGACCGGTTCTATAAAACCGGTT